ATTTTACAATATGAAGATTTTTGTATATACATACATGTAATCACAAAATAAAATATGTATATCTCACTTTTCTGATATGTACATATAAATGCTTAAACTCACATGAAGCCAAATTCACACAGAAGCTCAAGATAATCAGAAAACCAACCAACACACACCTGTCCTGTGAAATACCCTTCGGCTTTCACCAGATGTGTGCAAGCTTAAAAGAGACATGCAAAATTTGTTTCACTGAAGTGACAACACTGACCATCAACAACCAGTGTTGATGTGCATCTATTTACCCTACTTATACACACCGAAATAGCCCTAGGCATTCAGTACCTTAATACCTGGGGCATATCTCACGAGCACACATCGGCCGCAAACATGCCTCAGAGGTGTATTTACTCCGTGCATATATTGTTATGATTGCCCTGTGTGTAAAAAACAAAGACAAAATGGCAGGATTATCGACATCCTAACTTGGTAGTATAAAAGTCCTTTGTATCTGTGGTAGAGAGGAAAAAAACATGCATTTGCCAATCCGTCTAAAGCAGAAAGTATAATACTCCAAAACACATCAGCCGGAGCAATTTACAATACACGCGGGAAGGGGTTGAAATGAACAATTCGAGGTAGATTTAATCGGGATAAAATCCGCCGAGGCCAAATATTCCCCCATATATATCGTGCTCCAGACCTGGCACTGCTGTAAGTTTGTCAGCAAGTCTTCTTCGAACTGTCTCACTCAAGCCGTAATTGAAACCCAATAAGAATTGTTTGAGGCAAGGGAGATTTGTGCTAGTCAGCGAATCAATAAGATGAACGACGCTGTCCCCAATGAAGTTACCTGAAATGCGTAAAATTTGCAGTTCTCGCCACTGTTTAAGATTACCTGAAAGAACTTTCATTGCAGGCACCATGTCTCCAAATAATCCAATATCGCAACCACTTATATCTAGAAATTTCATGTTCAAATTTCTAAGTTTAAGGAAAAACTTTTTCAGGGTAGTTGAAATGCCAATTCCGCAAAGCCCCATGTGTTTACAATTCCCAGAAATGTCAAAATATTGCAACCTAGGTATATGATGCAAGTTGTCTGTAAGTGACTTCAGTCCTACGGGTGTTATATCAGTGCTACTAAGCCCAAGTCGTTCTAAGCTAGGCAAATGCTTCAGCTGCGAAGCCAGGTCACAAAGGGTGTCAATTAAAATTGTGTGTCTTTTCGGTAAGGCGTCATCTACTAGACTCTGTCGTGAAACAATGAATGGGTCCCTGCCATTTTCTAAGCAAGTAGTTCTTACAGACTGGGACTCCTTATTAACCAAACATGTCTCGCATGTAGTCAAAACTGTGTGTGACAGATCCAATGTAAGAAGATTGCCCATGCTCTTAGCAGGCAGCAGTTGGAACATATCTACCAGGTGGTGGAAGGGAGGAGAGCAAAACCTGACAAGCAACCTCTCCAGAGATGGGAATGGAGGCTCAAGTGACAGAAACAATTCCAAGCTGCTTCGATACACTTCTAGATATATCAAACTTTTCATGGAACTTCCTGACAAGATCCTTGGGTTTGGATGTACATGTACACATCGGTTTTCCAAACAACCATCTTTGTAATACTGAGTGTCTGTCAGTATCACTTTCTTCAAGGAGGGGAAGATAGTATGATACTGTAATTTGTGAATGTTGGCATCCAATTTGGTCGACAAATCATACTGAGTGACCTGATGAGCATATTGCAATATTCTATCTGCTGCCTGGGGATAAATGCCATGCATCTGATCATCAGAGAGATGGTTCAGCCATTGCATGTGTTCATGGGTTACAACATGATTGTTTGTCAACATTTCAGTTATAAGACGAATAAACAAAGGGTTACAGTCTGAGGGTAAACGCCACTTTTCTGCAAAATATGCAGTTTTAAAATGTGCATCTTTGTCTGTCAAGCTGTGCAAATGAGAAAAGATCACTGCTGCTACCCCTGGGGACAGGCCACATACAAATTGTATGACATTTGCCATATCTTGGAACCGCTCTAAAGAGTTAACATGGCCTAAAAATGTCTCAATTAGCTCCGAGTGAGACCATTCCTTCCAACTTTCAACTAAGTGCTTTGCAGCAAAATATTCTTGTATGGTCTTATGAATAAACGAAAAGCTTGATTTGTGGGCCTTTGTCCTTATGCTACTAAGTTTTAAACGAGACATGATACCTGTGTGGAAAATCTGTTCCCCCAAATCCTTAATGCTTGAATTAGTTTAATCAAAGACAAGGTTACCGAAAAGAAGGCCATCAAAAGCAATTTTACCGATAATATTTGTCTTTTCTGATAGATAACATTTTGCCGTTTCTGGATTTTCTTGACGGGCTACATATCTGTCCGAAATTAGAGTTACAAGTTCTTGATAAAGAACTGTGAGGGAGTTGGGCATTTGTTCTGCAGTTTCTTCATCCCATAAAATGCATATAAAGAGTAACAGTAACGGGGTGGGTGATATGGATAGATGAAATTTCTTCACATACTGCACAACTGACTCGTGATAACCTGGATCTCTACCTGTGAAATGGTTTTGGATAAATTTGACAATTTCATCCGCGGACATGTCGTTGATTTCAACATGCATGTCACTGGGCCTATGTTTGGACAACTCGTGTGCTTTCCATGGGCGTGAGGTGACAATTACTGTTACACTAGCAAGTACCTCCCCTTTTATCAGTTTGGATATGTTATTCTGTGGGTTGGCATGATTATATTCATCATAGCCATCTAAAATTATGATGATTCTTTCAGCATTAGAATGAATGTACTTAAACAAAGCTTCATCTGATATTTCAAGAGAAGGGTCTATCAGCTGATCTTTGATTGATTCAAGCAGGGTTTGGTCTTTGTCAAGAAACCTTAACCTGATTAGAAACAGAAGTGACACATCTTCAAGATAAGAGTTATCTTTTGTTCCCGAATTCTCGCCACTTGAACCACTAGCGCCACTTTGCACCTTAGATCTTGCCCAATCGACTGCCATTTTTGCAGCAACTGTTGATTTGCCACAGCCAGCTTTACCTCTGATAATGATTCTTTTCTTTCTGATGTGTGGCTTGAAGATATCCTGGTAAGACCTAAGAGGAACCTTCTTGAGGTCACCACCTTTCTTTTGTTCTTGGATGAGAGACAGATCGACAAACACGTCGTCAATGTTCATGGTGTCGGTATCATCCCAGGGGATCCGCGGCACACAGCTCATCTCACGGTTGTATCTTTCTGCCAGGTGGTTTTGAAGCAATGTCAGCTGCTCATCTGAAATGATTAACAAAT